CTCTCTCTGTCTTCAAAAAAAAAAACATTTAAAAATTTAATCAATCAATCATTGGATCATTCTATCTATCCAATGAATAGATTGATTGAAAGATTCATTGATTGATTGATTGATCGCACTGTGATTGTGTGTCTGACTTTGTGTGTGTGTGCTCTCTCTCTCTCTCTCTCTCTCTCTCTCTCTCTCTCTCTCTCTCTCTCTCTCTCTCTCTGTGCAATACGAAAAACAACAAACATTTCATCATTCAATCAATCAATCGATTACTCAATCAGTCAATCAATCAATCAATCAATCAATCAATCAATTAATCAAACAATCATTCAATCATTCAATCAATCAGTCATTCAAATCAATATATTGATTGATTGAACTGTGATCTCTCTCTCTCTCTCTCTCTCTTTCTCTCTCTCACTCCCTCCCTCTCTCTCTATATATATATGTAGACGATATATATATATATATATATATAAAAGTCAATCATTCAACCGATCATTCGATCAATCCGATGACTCCGGTTTGTCGTGCGGGGTTTCTGACATGTCATGAAGTTGGTCACTCAGTCGCTGCATTGGATGTGTGCCGGGCGGTCTAGCCGAAGGTCAATCTGTTAAGAAGTTCGTGAGTCTGTCTCTAAATCAGTCTCTTTTCCAGTGCATCGGTGACAATGCAAGTCACTGAGTCTGTCATCCGATGACTGTTTGCTGATTACAGTACCGGACGTTGTTTTTTTGCGATTTGGCAGTTCATCCTTTTCGAGATTGTGTTTCCGACATTGCACTGTCCACCACATGCCACACGCACGGCGCGGGAGAGGGTCGGCCATCTGTCATGGATGACTCACCAGCCAGTTGCACGCCTGATGACGGCAGGTCAGCAGAACGGCCACCCACTTGGCCCGCGCGTGGCAACGCTACGCCGGTGTCACCGCATGCCGGACAACGCGGTTTGCTGGGAGTTTCCCCTTATGGCAGCCCGGATGACACGCGATCAACAAAGAGGCCTCGTGTTCACTCTCTTTCGCCTACGGTCGTCGTCACTCCCGGCGTTGCAGTTGTGCATTCTCCGTTGCCGCCCTTGTTGCCGTCTCCAGCGCGCCGTCCATACACTCCGATACACCCTTTGTCGGATTTCGATGCGTTGTGTTTTCCTGTGCTGTGGCCGCCATTGCAACCTCGCCGTTTGCAGTTTTTGTCGTGTGCTGCGCAGCCATTTCCTCCTCCTCCACTTTTCAATGGACGCGACGGGTTGGACTCCATCCCCTTGGAGGGGTGTTCTCAATCATCAAGAGCGGTGTTTGGAAGTGGAGGGTCCACACTGCGTGACGAAGAACGTCGGAGTGTAGAACCGCGGGTCTCACATTCGTTCGCCGCATCAGGTCATGGGCAGGGGGGTGTATTGGATGATGCACGTCGTGCCTCTGCCGGGGACACCTATGACCGTAATTACGCCCGTCGCTCTCTCGTCTCCTGGTTCGACGAGGATGAAATTGTGAGTGGTAGCGGAGATGGGCCCGACCGTTGCGATCCTGGCGCTCAAAATCTTGGTGCGGGTCATTCTGAACACTCGGGCGGGTCCTTGGGGCAATTCGGTTCGCAGTCAACTGGTTCCACGAAGTACTCTCGTTTGTTTTTGACTACCGCTTGCAAGGAGAGACTGCGCCTTTTACAATCTGAGATGAACGAAGTGAGCAACAAGTCTGGGATCATGAGCGATGTCATAGACCGACTGTTGCATTGGTCATCGCCAGCTATCCGATCAGAGTTTGGGGATGGTGTGGCGTCGAGGATCGAGAGAACACTACCGGCCGACAGTCATGCAGATGTGTTTCGTCTCGGAGCAGGAGGGGATGATTCGACAGCGGACGCTGAGGATGATGGCGAGCGTGAGGGTGAAGGGAGCGGTGGAGGCAATGGCGGGTCATTTTGTAGGTCGGATGATTCACTACCGCGTTCAGGGCACGGGTCACAGCATGGCCGCAGATCGCGCGGGAGGCCACCAAGCCGTGGCAGGTCGCGTTCGCGTTTCGAACATGTACGTCCTTTGTGCTGGGATGATATGAAGGATGGTGCCTTGCAAAGAGGACCTTGCAATAATCGGTCTAAACATGTGTTGAAATCGATGGGGCGTTGGGGAGGCTCGGAAGCGCCTGATGTCGTCTTTGTGGAGCCGGTGAAGCTGCTGCAGTTGCTCGGGTTGTTCGATTTGAGTTGCCCGCGCCACAGGGGCGGTTGTGCTGTGGATGTGTCCTCTGTCGGTTATCTTGGGCAGATTTGTTGCATTTCGCTCGCTTGTAAGAAGTCATGTCGTTGGACATGGCACAGTGCACTGGTTGGGGGAGTTGTGTACTCTTGCAGACTTCAGCAGCAGTTGTTCCATGCGACCGTCACTGCCGGTGTGACATATACCGTCCTCAACGACTTCTGCATCGCGTTTGGGGTGACACCTGTGCACAAACCCACTTTTTACAGTTGCATGCGCGGTGAGCCGAATGTGCGTGAGGGTTGGAATGCAAAGGTTATCAGGCAGAGCGTGCGGTATTGCGACTTGGCCATTGACACGGTTATGCGATCAGGGAGACCCGTCACTTTGATGGTTGACGGTCGCTACGACTCGGCCAGGTCTGCGCAGCATTGCACTATTACCGCGATTGAGTGTGATACTCGTCTTGTGGTGGGTGTTCACACTCTTCAGCCAAAAAATGAGGGAAAGGCGTCGAACCAACTTGAGGTTCCTGCAGTTGTGCGCCTGTTGAGAGGCCTGCTGTTGAGGGGGTTGAAGATCCGGTGTGTTGTCTCCGACGATTGTGCTGCATTGGGTCCACAATTGGAGCGCCTGGGTATTGAATGGCAGAAGGATTGCCATCATAAGGTAAAAAACATTCGCAAGGCAATTAGAAAAGTCGTGACACTGAAGGTGCCAAAGAAATTGAACAACCCTCATCAGTGCGTGTCGGAATCTCAGTTTATGCAGTTCACGAAGAAGGAGTTGTTGGATGCCTTGATGGACCGTTATGAACCAGGGTCTTTGACGGCAAAAGAAGAACGATTGAAGAAGAGCGACTTCGTTGCTCTTGTGATGAGCAAAATGTACCCGTACGGCACGATGAAAAACAACAAATCCTTGGTCGCGGATGCAGATGATGTGACTGAGTTCCATATGCATGAGGTGGGGCATTGGTTTCTTCGTGCTTCCCAGCTTTGCAGAGATGAGGGAGGCGACTTTGTCACTCTGCACAATAATGTCAATGATCGCCGACCATATGGCCGGGGACCACTCCAGGTGCGTTGCGGACAGAGAGCTTTTATGCTCAAAGGGGGGTGGCCCATCTCGGCTGCCTCTGTACACGCACGACGACCCCGTGTATGACATCATTCACCAGACGTTGGGCAGGCATTGCAGCACGACCGTCTGTTCGTACTACACGGAGTTCCGCCACATGTCGACGGTTGCGACCTTCCAGGGCACAATCATCATTTACGCGAAGAAGGCCTTGCATTTCGAGAAGTCATATGAGCCGCGTTTGGCGATTGCAGTCATTCGATGGAACAGTCATGCATGGCAGGATCCCTTGGAGTATCGTGTCCGCAGGCCTTCTGGGACTTCGATTCGTCCAAGGCCGAGCCATTACCGTCACAATCGGCCACCTACCGATTCGTGGATGGATCGGCTGTCCACGTTCATCTTCGGTTCAAAATGTGTTTCAGATTGGGCTCGACGCCTTCTCGAGTACGACGACTGTGATGTGTCGGGCGAGGTCAAGTCCTCGACACCTCCTCTGCCTCGCGATCTTTTTTGCAGAGGCGAGGATACCATTGCCCGTGACGAGGACGACGTTGCTTCAGGTGCGGATCCCGACGTTGTGGGGGATGACGATGTTTTCATCATTGGTGACGGGGATGGGTTGCCTGGACCAGCGGATGCCGTGTTCGATCGATCATGCGATTCTCTATCGGGCGCAGATGATGTCGAGTTGTTCGACGACTGACATTATGTTATGTCGTAGTATCTTGTACATGCGACTTTTATGTTTGTTGCCTTTTTAGTTTGATTGCGAAGACTGATGGCGAGGCTGTATACTACCCCGTAGGGTTAAATTTGTAATTTCGTTTGACTGGGGCGTAACCCGTGAGACCAACCTGTGAGGAAAATTCATGACGGCCACATCTGTAAATATGGAAAATATAGGCCTAGCATTATTTCGAATTTCCTATACGTACACTTACTGCGATTTGCAGGCCCGGACTACCCCCAGGACAGACAGGCCCTAATGGCCAGAGTTGATAGACTGTCCTATAGCCTATAGTCGGGTCCTGTAGAGGCCGAGAGGGCGAAACTGCAACGGTATTGGTCGGTTAGTCAGTCCGGTCTACGTGTAGGTTAGAGTACTGTACTCTATTAGTAGAATGAGGGAAATCGATTGGGGACGAAGCGACTATAACAAACTGTGTTATGATATTCGTTCGAGTTGGCTCATTATCAGCATCATATCAACTGTGATTTTGCTGAGGTTCTTTATTGTGATTGTTTGTTGGGAGTCTGTCGGAGAGTGAGAGTCATTGTGTGACCTTCCCCATGTGTGCATGGTTGAATTCCGCTGCTTATCCTTGTCTGTGTGCAATTTTCACTCTGTCACCTCTCCCGCTCTTGTTATGCATGTGTGGGCGTGTTTTATATTGTATGGGTGGTTAGGTGGTTTAAAAAACAAAACCGTCTCCCCCTGTTCTTATGCATGTGTGGCCGTGTTTGAGAATGTCTGTGTGTGAGCGCCGGAATAAATCGTCAGACAACCAAGTGATATATATATATATATATATATATATATATATATATTATTTTATTTTATTTTTTTCTCACATATGTGATGGTATCTCATGTCTTGTGTTTGGTATTTTTTTTCACTTTTTTCGTCCTCTGTGTATAGATATTATTGGACCAATGTCGAGTTACACATACATCCATACTTCACACGCTTACGCACTTAGGCAATAGTAGGATCGCATATTATACAGCCGAAGCAATTCAGATTTTCACGTTGATCCAATATTGCAATGACATCCAGTTGCAATAGTAAATGAATGAACTTGAGTGGCGAGAGCGAGGATTAGAATCGCTCAGACTCCATTGCCAATGGTACAATGACATACAATTGCAAAAAGAAATAAATGAACTTCAAATGAGAGATCGAGGATTCTAAGAAGAAGAAGATGATGTACAGCAGGGAAACCAAATTTTTCATAATGCAATCCCTGCAAGTCACGACAATAGGTAAGTACCGGGTCTGATGGTCTGTTGAACAAGCATGGGCCGTTACGGGGCACACCAAAAGTAACCCCCACGCTTAAGTTTACGATCGCGCACACACACTTAAGGCAAACACACAGTCGGACTGACAAACGTACTCACACTGCAGGCAAGCATACTCTCTCTCTCTCTCTCTCTCTCTCTCTCTCTCTCTCTATATATATATATATATATATATATATATATATATATATATATATATATATATA